ATCTTCTTCTGACTCAGTTTGTCTTTCTTTTGCTTTCTCTGCCTGGACATTGCTTCAGCCGGCTTGCTGCAGATTCCCTACTTTTTCCTCCCTGTTGGGATAGCTTTATTTAGTTATGACACTGTGACTTATTGTGTTTTAAGAAAACCTTTTTCTTTTTCTGAATACAGTGTAAAGTTCTTTCCTACTGGCAATCCTATGAAATTGTTTCATTATCCAGATCAAAATCCCCAAGGCATTTCTCAGGGTTTTTAAAATCAGTTATTCCATATTCACTATTGCACATCTTCCATTGAGACTGGTCAGCAGAGAAAAAAGGGGCCCATAACACCCAGGCCATGTTCCCAATCAGTCACTGTTTCTAAAGGAGCAACTATTTCTAACATGCATAGAGATTTGAATAAGCCACTGATTTATTATTGTTTTAAATTGAAAAGATAGTCTAAAAGCTTGAAATGTTGAAGGCTATTCTTTATGTTTTGGTCTTTTATCTTTTGCCTTTGCCTGTTTTATGTTTTTATAAAGGAACTTGAAGGTAGATAAAGGTATTTTTACATAGGAAGAGTTTTTTGAAGTGTTTTGAGGTTACTAGATGAAAAACTTTTATAAATGTAACATTTTTATTATATCTTAGAGATGACCCATAAAGCACTCCTCTTGTACTTATACAAAGACATTTCAAAGTTTAGTCATCAAGTGATGGGCAGGAAATAAGCATTAAAAAAAGAAGAAAGTGATTTATTTTCAGTTCCAACACTTTCCAATCTTTACTATGCTTATTACTGCTATTGAGATGAAACGTCCTGCATTCTTTTCACATGCTAGATGCAGTCTCAAAACGATATTTAAAAGACACACTTGAACTGACAAACTGCATCTGAGGGAAGGACAAGCAGTATACGGACTTTCATATAATTGAAGAAATAATAAATATATCTGAAAAATTAATATGCATTAGTCTGAGAACCATTGCTTTCACACAAATTTATCCATATGCTAATAATGCACACATAATACACATACTTTAGAAGAAAATATGAGGAGTGCAAAAGCCAGTCATTGATCAGTCTGACAGTTCCTCTTCATAGCAAGAAGAAGGTACTTAGAGGAAGCTGATGATAAGGAAGAAAATGTTAGCTAATGTAAATGTAAGTGAAGACAGCAAGATGTAGAAAACGAGAGGCAAAGCTTCTGCCTTTAGCTCACTGTTAAATATAAACAAACATCTTGAAGATATTTCTTGCTGAAAACCAGCTGTAACATGAAGTGTTGATTATAAAAATGTCACAAACCTAGAATAAGACATTGCCAGATTCAGTTCTGTCAATGGTGTCTGGGGGTGGGGGTGGGGGGGAGCCATAGAAGCAGAATGATGAAAGAAGCATCATGATGTAAGCCTTGCCCCTTTTGCACATGTATCATGACATTAGGCACACAAATGAAAGGGTGGAACTTGCAACATGATAATCCAATGTTCCTTTCATTATTTTGACAAAAGCAGCAAGATCTTGCAGAGATCCATGGCTCCTGACATATCAGTTAAGTTTGTTAGATCTTGGGTTGCTTTTCTGACCATACTTTGAGCTTCAGTTCTGCATTGCTGTTTGCCTATTGTCTATATTTTTACTTCTTTGACCCTAGTTTGCTTTTCTGGCTTTGCTTTCTGTTTCTGATTGTATTTGCTTTGTTTGTTAAATATTCTGGATTTTATTCTGGTTAGTTTACAGATTTCTCTGTGTTGGTTCTGTTCCCTGACTTTACAAACTCCTTCAGAGAATTCTAGTCTTCAGCAAGATATTCCTATATTCAATTAACATGACAGAGAGTGGGAACCAACATTCTAGGTATGCTTCTTTTCTTGTCCTTCAACAGGCTAGAACCAAACATAGGAAGCAGAAAATCTGATTTATTGGAGCTTCAAACAGTATGTTAAGCCTTTAAGACTGGGTCTAGGGCTCGTTTTGCAGACCTATTTCATAAGATTAGTCAGGCTGGTGGACAAAAAATATAGTGTCTTGATGGTTATCATGGAACTTCTTCCCATAGGAAGTGCATTTTTAGTCAACCAGTGATATCTGGGGATCTGACTGGAGCATTTCATTCCATTTGGGGGGACGGGGGGGGGGGGGGGAAGCAGCTGTTTTATCAAGCTGGTTCAGTATTTTTGTCTTTAATGACAATTCATTTATTTAAAACACTTGTATGGCTGCCCAACTCAACCAAAGTGGCTCTGGATGGCTTACAGAAAATTCAGCAGAACACAGAAAGAATGCAATACATAAACCAATGAACAATAATAAAATAGTAAAATATGTTTGCATCTTAAAAGCTTACTTTGGTGAGATTGAGCTATCTCCCAAGGTAGGTAGAATAAAAGGCTGAAACCTCTAGTCAGATTCCTGTATACTGTATGCTGTAAATCCTGGAAGTGACACTTGAAATTATTTCACTTTTTGCATTTTTTATTTTTTAAGTACCAGAAAGGCAGCACGAATTATGAGAATCATTTCTCTTTCACACACCGAAGTTAGGGGAGGATGCCATGGAGGAGCCCCTGGAAGATAAGTGTTGGCAACAGGGACTGCCAAGGCCCTATGCCAAGGTCACTGTGGGAAGATGCAGATGACATCTAGGAGAGGAGGTTGGACACCCAACCTCTCACAATGCAGGCTCAGATGTTTCAACTACATTGCTATTTTACAGCTGAGAAATGAACTGCTTTAAGCTACTCATTATTGTGTATTTGTACTGGATGCCAAACCTATTTTATGATAACTTCTTATTGTGAAAAGCTTTGATGGGGCTTTTCTGGCACTGAAAAAGGTGATCTAAAATGTCTACAATAACATTCAAGCTTCAAAACAGATGATAATTATCTCACATTTCAGCTCATTTATTTTTCCAACAAATACTTTTGGTGGGTCTTTCACATTATCTTCTTCGTACTAATCTGATATTATGAACTTGCATACAAACTTCCACTGTTTTTCACTCTTCGACAATTCTACCACTTCTATAAGGAAGAATAAAATGATCTGACAGGCACAAATTATTCCAATTTATTGTTTACCATTATGTTGCTCAGACAAATAAATGATTGATTGGGTGCTGGAATTTTTCCTATGGGTTCCTGATTGATTCCATTGTATTTATATATGACTCAAGAGAAAGGCTATACAAAGGCTTGGTACTAAACTCCACCTGATCTATTCACATATATACTTTTCTCCATTACTTTGCTGGTAGGAACATTTCAATCTGAGTGAGATAGCAAAGCAATTCTGATGCATATCAGTTGATGCCCTAAGTGTAAATGATTATCTGATTGTTTAGGTGAAGAAGAAGAATCTTATTCACTTAACTTATGGCATTTCCAATTGTTTTGACATTCTGTGATTGTTCTGCTAGGCTCAAGAACTGCCACTGAAGTGCTATAGCATTTCGCATTTTGAAGATAAATACTTGACAGTACTAATTGTAGTTTAATGTTTTATTGATTACATTTTTCCTCCTTTTTTTCAGTGAAGTCAGAACATGCTTTCTCTTCCCCAACTTTTATTAGGGTTGGGTCATAGATTTGAAGAGTCTTTGAAGGACTTGTTTAGGATCTCTGATAAGACTCTCTAATTTTAGTCTCCCTTGTGTGCTTACATGATATTTATTTATTGATGGTAGGAGAGAGATTGGGGAGCAGTGTGGCAAGCTGTACTTGGTATCTGGGAGCATTACACTTTTTAATTTTCTCACAGTGCTCTGGAATAAAGATATAATGTAGGACCATTTAGTTTTCCTATAATGTTCTGGAATAATGTCATGCTCAGTGTTAAGAATATAATAATGTACATTAATATTCTGGGACACTAAAATAGAAATTAGACTCATGGACTCCAGTGCATATTTTAACAAAAAACTCCTTCAGTAAGAGGTTTTTCTCTTGCCTGGCAATTTATAAAGATGCAAGTTGTTGATACCAGCCCTAGTTACAATAGCTGTAAGAGATATCTTTGGTAGAGAGTGATTGACTGGCCTGAAATCAGCCACTGGACTTTATTGCTATGAAAAGATATGGACGTGGAAATATTTGGTCATGCTTAAACATTGTGACCACATCACATTGGTTCTCACATATTAATTTTGACACAGTGTATGGGCAGAGAAACAGATTCCAACAATTTAGGTATAACAGTGCTGTAAACTATGGCTTATCCTAAAATAATTTCCGGCACTATGAAGATAGCTGTTGTGACTTAAATTAACCAGCCTATATATTTTAGTAATTTTTTAAAAGCATTTGTAACTAACAGGAAGGGACAGTGGAACAATTGTATCTCATATATATCTTATATTATGGCAATGTGTCTATGGCAGCACAAACTATTCTTTGCATTACCTATGAATATATAAAAGATTGAGAATTTATCACCTGCTGTGTAAGGATGCATATCTGTATTAATAGTAAAGATTTTTACAGTTTTCTTTTTATGCTGTCTACATTTATTTACAACTGACTTTAAGTGAAATAAGATTATATCGTCAAACCACTTCAGTGGTTGCTAATTCAATTTATTTAAGCACAAGTAACTATTAATAATTATAAATCAATTACTGAACCTGTACTACACTTTTCAAAGTGAAAAAGTTCCCACTGAGAAAACATCTTTTTAAATGAATGAGTAAAATGAGCAGTTGCCATATGGCAAGGAATTCATATTTCAATTTATCTTTTTGTTCATACTAACAGCATTTAAAATACGTTTGGCTAAATATGGAAACAGAACTTGCGTAAGGAATCAATTATTATATTCTTAAGTTTAAATCTTCTTTTCTTTCTGTATATACTCTAATGTATCATTGTGCCTATGAAATTTACCTTGGGCAAAATGTTTCTATTCAGCTAAAAATCTATGAATAACATTAGGGAAAATTAATAAGATAAATGATTTAAAACCTTTCCTTAGAATGGATTCTTATTCAGATGTCCTGAGAAAATGATACCTCACCCGTAGAAAGGAGTCAAGGGATCCATTCTCCATGTATTCAACCACTATCATTACTGGTCTACCTGAAAAAAATACCAAAAGAATGTGTTAGGATTACAGGTATATTAAGGATTTGTTATATTTCTAGCTGTTAAGAAAAGATTAGTTGTGTCGCTAAACTATATTGCTCATTTCCCAATCCTTTTCTGTAGCAAAGATGCTCTACAAAGCACAAAGTAGTATGTGCTCTACATGAGGCTGAACTTGAAGACCACCCTGAAGCTTCAACTGGTCCAGAATGCATCGGTGTGAGCAGCAGTGGACAGGTCCTCTGTATGCCCCTGTAAAACCTTTGCCTTACAAGCTGCACTGGTCACTGGTTTGTTTCCAGATGTGATTCAAGGTGCTGGTTCTTAGCTATAAAGCTCTACATTACTACGTTACTAGAGGTACTGCCTGTCTCCCATAACATCTTCCTGGTGGATTCGATCCTGCAGGGTTGGTGCGCTCTGGTTTCCTTTGATTAAACAAGGTCATCAGTCAGGATCCTGGAAGTGCACCTTCTCTGTAGCAGTGCCTGCCCTCTAGAACAAGGTTACCCCCAAGATCTGGATGGCCCCCACTCTACTGTTGTTTAGAAGATCTGTAAAGACCTGGCTGTTCACCCAGGCCTTTGGTGAGCAAGAGTGAGACCCCTTGCTTTATCGTGCTTGCCATCTTTTATCTTTTATGTTTTATTGTAATTTCTTTGATTGTTGTGAGATGCCCAGAGTCATTGAGAGTTGGGCAGCATACAAGTTTAATAAATTATTCTTATTGTTAGATTAGTACAATAATACTTCATTGTTTTATTATTTCTAAACTACATATTATTTGATTATGACAGTGAGTGAATTGAAGAAATAAACTGAAGTTTATGCTACTTTTTTGTTTCAATAGCTTCAATAAAAGGCTAATATATATAGCCTACACTCTTTGTGGACATGGTTCTGTGCACTTACAAGTCTGCTACAATTCAGCCTTTCTGGATAGCCTGTATCAAAACAGATTCCACAGGAAGACTAAGACTACACCTTATTGAGATAGGCTATAATAATAGAATGTTGCAAGCCTGATTGTGCTTTACCTCCCTTCCCTCTTATGTCCCAATGAATCAGGGAGGAACCTGCCTGAGTTTCTTCTGAATACTATCTTGTTTCCTGGGACTCAGGGAATGTTTTAGCCTTCTTTGCTTATATAATGGTTCTCACCTATTTCCCTCAAGGCCATATCCTTTATACTCTGCATAATAGTAGCCCTGCCACTAGATGCAATAGCTTCAGATGGTAGATGATGGTGGTAAAGACCATGGACTAGTGCTCTACTGATAAATGATAGCATTCCTGCAACCCACAGATTAGCTTTCTGTCTCTAGGTAACCTAGGGAATGATATCAAATCACCAGTGCTGAAATACAATTCAGGTGGTAGTAATCATATATAATCTACTGAGATTATTTAATTTACTGCAGCTAGCCATAATTCTAATCAAGAATATATAATGAATACTTTTAAATACACACACACACGGACACACACATGGACATACATACATATATTCACATAAAAATAAAAAGAAATCTATAATAAAAGTTATAATATCAAAATACATTAAGGCATTAAAATTAATAATATATTATGATATAATTCAGTGTAAACATATTCTCAGTGAGACTAGATGGTGACTCTTCAGGGTTTCATAACTGAGCTTTTCTCAGTTCTATGTGAAGATGGCTGGGATTAAATGTGAGACATTCTGTGTTCAGTTGTTCTGCATTCATGAATGGTCTCCATTCCTGAGTGACAGTCTTTCATTTTAAACGAAATGTATCATTAACATTCAATGTTTGAGACAAATGCATCCACATCACTCTGTGTACTAATTTTGCTTTCCTTATTTACTTGAGAAGCTTTTTACTGTTGGTGTTCAAGAATAAACTATTGCTCTAATAGAACATAGAAAAATGGCCCAATTTACATGCTAATCAGGGCATCCCATCAGATGTTATTTAGGTAATGCTAATAATACAAAGGGGTGTATAATATATACAGAACTACTGTAATGAATAATCTTGCATGCAAGATTGAAAATAATATAATAAAACAACAAACACATTTGTGGGAATGCATGTATTAGTTCTGTTTGAAATGATAATACAATAAAAAGAATAAAGAACATGGGTACTTTCAGGGAACTGTATCTACATTTTGCATCCTATTGTTGTTTTTTGTTATTTCTGCCCAGAGATATAAATAGATATATGTATAATCTGGCCTGTCAGAGCCTAACAACATGGAATTTTTATGCTTCTAGCAATCTCCTACTAAATATTTTTTTCAGCTTTATTTGTGAACTGAAAGAGTTTTTAGGTGATTGACCAAGCAAAAACCAAAACTCTGACATTATTTAATCCATAGAAAGACCTGTTAGATTGCAATAAATGGAGGAAAATTGACAGCAGAAATCAGGATAGGTGATGGAAGTATCTGCTGGAAAAGTCAGTAAGTAAAATTAAACAGGGAATGGATTAGGCAAAGAACTATTAGTGATATTCAATAGGCATTTATTATCAGAACCAATCATCATTATCATCATCATCATCTTCATCATCATCATCATCATCATCCACTCTGATTACTACGTTCCACTTTTAATCACATATGTTCTTAGCTGTACTGTATGTAAACTGTATATAAGGCTCATATATTCCATATAATAGGCAACTCATTGTACTTTTGATTTTACTTTTGAACTACAATTTCCAATATCTTTAGGAAGCACAGACAGTGATGAGGAATACTAGAAACAGAAGGAATGTTACAGGTTGTCTACGTTTATTATAGCTATTATAGCCAGTCTATTAGGGTATGGAGGAGACAGTAAGATTGGGAGAATGAGGAGTGGGAGAAAATCCATTGGGGCATTCTCTTCTAACCATATTTCTAAGCATCTTCTAAAATAGGTTAGAATTTATTTGGTCTAGAGGTATAAAATCAATGACTTCATCTTTCTCTACTTTCTGAGATGATTTCTTTCAGAAATAAGTAGGGGATTCTTCCAGATTTCTCCTTGGAGCCATCTCTTATACAGTGCATTTAAAAATATCAGAAGAACAGATTGAAGACATATGTAATCCTTCATTCTGTCCACTCAGTGGTCAGCCAAATGCTCTCTCAAAAACCTACAAGATAGGTTTCTGCTTGTATTTAACAACTAGTACCAATAGGCATACTTTGGGCGATGTATAAATGCCATGTTTTCCCATACTTTCAAAAAGCAGTGTAATTTGCATATAAAAAATTAAGTTATCCAGCATACACAGCATCATATATAATGAATTCACATGTGACTCAAATAATTATTCAAAGCTAGATGATGTAGCTTTAGGACTAAACCCAAGCAGTTTAGTGTAAACTTTATGAATGGGATGTAGCTTGGTACTATATGTAAATTCTTTGGGCAAATATGGTTTAAACGTAATAACATAAAATATTTTGCTGCCTGTATATTTGAGGTGTATGTGAAGTGCTTCTTAGCCATTTTATGTACCGTGGAATCTTTTCTAGGAGACTTAATAGATGGCTTGCACTTCTGCTATTAACAATATGATGATCTTGTCTTATCCTTCAACAACTCCTTGCTGACATTCTAGCAGCTAAAGAAAACCATAGAAGAGTATTAGAAACAGACAGCTTGGTTAATTGTGATTTAATTTCCCATATAGGGTTTGGCTGTGTATGCAAAGTACTTCTTGGCCCTCCTTATAGAAAAAAAGGAAAACACACATTTAGGGTCAAGCAAAATTTCCAGTTTTCTTGCAGAGAGTAGCACAAATTTCATTAACTGGTATCCAGGTCTACTGCCAACACTGTCCTAAACTTCAGTTAAACAAATTCTGGTGTGGCTTTCTGAGCAGTACTAAATTCCATTAAAACATTCATTATAATTTCCCACAATACCACAGATTACTATCTTGAGCTCACTGTGGAGAATTAAAAGAGGAGTTAGGCATAGTTTGCTGCATCAACACTGAGTACTACTTCCACCAAGTAAGCTTAGCAGACTTCTATTTATTTATTTATTTGATTTGTATGACTGCCCATCTCACCTAAGTGACTCTGGGTGGCTCACAAAAAGACTATAAATATGGAAAAAAAGTCTATCAGAGGATGTATTCAAACTTGGAGCCATACCTGTTATAGGTTATAGGTCTGGGAGGTACTTTGTCTTAACTTATTTCTGACAGTGAATAATTGTGTTAACCATTGTACTGAATATACCACTGTACCCATTATTTAGATATGACTGTGTAAATTATATCAATAAAATAGTTATCACTATGGCAAGAAACCCCAGCTAAGAAAGCCATTCAGCTGATCTTGGCTGATCTTGAATATTAAGAGGGTTGGGCCTGGTTAATTGTTTGATGAAAGATTATCAGGAAATATGAGGCTAGGCTGTAAAAAAATAAATAAAAAAATATTCCAGAAGAAGGAAATGGCAAAAGTGTTGCATGCTGCTACAAGAAAATGACTGAAACGTCCAAGATAACTGCTAAGATGGAAAAGAGCAATCATTGCTAAATAATTCAGAAAGAGGATAGTATGAATGATATGCACAAACTCAAGTGAATATGCCAAAAAACTTCATGAATGATGACTCCCTAGGCAGATGAACAGGGACAGCAGAAGAATAAGACTCTTCTGCTAAGAATGTGCATTAATGGTACAGGTATGATAAACACTGTAGACTTATACTATAGAGCCAGTGATGCCTTTCTTCAATGCTTCCTTTGCAGCTTGATGTGCTACATTTTCTTTTCCTCTCATCTATTCTAACTCACTTATATTTTTTGCAGTGTAAATGGATGAATAGACGAATAGATGAATTGGTATAGCTGTAAACTAACAGATAGAACAGCACATATTAGTACATACAGTACATGAGCAATGGACAGGATGAAAGCAAGAAACTCTGCCTAAATCATTCTTCCTGAAAATTTTATGTACAAGCATAATCCAGATTTCCCCAACCTCTTATTGTC